CCCTTCTCCTTGTCCCTGTGCAAGGAACAGGTGAGAGAAGATGTGAATGCAACACTCTGTAGCTTGTGCTTGTTTCAGTGCAGGTTCTAGAGCAGCAGGAAGAGACAAAGGAGGGCAATTTAACAGGAAAAGAAGCGCTACTGGGAGACTAGGTTGTACAGTACCCTTGTTAAGACTACCCAACTTCCTTGCCATCAGGTTTGAATGGTGTCATTCCCAGCACTGAAGGGGCCTCCTAAGCCCCAGGGTCTTCACACAGGGTCCGCACTCACCCTTTGCACTGATAGACGCTGCACTCATTCTCTCCCTCACTCTGCTCCTTCTCTTGTGTAGCTCACCCTGTACCATTTCCCACATTGCCTGCTGTGTCCTCTGGAACTCATTTGTTTCACAACTCACAGCCTCCACGTTTTAGTGTCACAAAGGTTTCATTAGCTAGCATTAGACTAGGTTTATGCTGTATCCTGGCCTTATCTGTCTGGCTTAGGAAAGTTGTCTAACTAGCTTCAAACTCTCTGTGGGAGTTTCAGGGAAGATTGTCTGTAATGGTCAGAGGAAGTCAAGGAAAGTACTTAGGTGATAAGGACGAGGCGGGTGTGAAAAGCCACCTCTCCCAGTCACTGTTTCTATCAGTTCATAATGTTCCCAACCTTTGGCTCTAAAAAAAAAAAACAAACAAAACAAAAAAACTATAGATTGTTTTATAAAATCAGAAGGCTTATTTTGGGCAACAAATGAGGTAATGTCTACAAAACACCCTGGTGTGTGGCATGGGCTTAGCCACTATCAGTGTCCTTTGTGCCTTGAATCAGCCTGAGAAAACCATGCCCACTGCAGCTTCCTTACTTAGCTTCTTCCCAGGCCAAGAGAGGGGAGCTGAGACTAAGTGGGGACCTGGCTTCCAAGTCCTTGATCTAGCTTATTACTGACTACATGTTTGATGATGAGCAAGTTTATTTCTTCTGATCCATAGTCAGATGTGTTATCCATCGTGCTACTGGCCCGTGGTTGGGAAAGTTTATTTCTAAGAGCATCTGTTTTAACTGATGCAAAATGGAAGAAGAGAACACATCATAGAATTATTTTCAGGTTTAACTGAGACACTAGCTCTACAACAGAGCTCTTGGTCGATGATCAAGTTCTCTGAAAATTTAAGCACTAATACTAATTGACCTGTATAAGAAATAATTGCGAGGACTTCTGTGTGGCAGGTGTTATGCTAACCACCGGAGCTATGCTGGTGAACAAGATCTCATTGCTCAAGCATCTGCATCCAGGCAAGGAAAAAGACCAGGCAGATAAATTCATTTCAATATGAACTTTTACTATGGTAGGAACTGGTGTGTGTGTGTGTGTGTGTGTGTGTGTGTGTTGCTGAACAATTACAGCATTTTGGGTTATTCTTTTTGCTGCTGTCTAATGGACTGGAATACTTAGCTAAGAAAAGGGGATGAATGTGAAGTAAAAACCTGCAGGCAGAGAGCATAGCATATGTGTAAAGGCTCAGTGCCCCAAGAGAATGTTCATCTATGATCCTCATAGATGAAGCTAGAAAATAATCAGAGATCTGTTTGTAAATGGGTTCATAGCCTTTTCCTGATTCTGTGAGGATCTATAAGTTCTCATGTAACCTCTCCAGATCCCACCTGTGGGTCTCTCTTGGACCTGGCCTTATTGAGAGCTGTCCCCAAGACCTTTTACCTTCTTTCATTCTCTGAGTGAATTTCCAGTAGGGTACATTTACCTTCATGTCCAACCTTTATCCAGTGGAAAATAAGTCTAATTAAGTTAGTTTCCTCATATCCCTCATGGACTTTTCTTGAAAGAAACTTCTCACTATTTTTTTCATAGCTGCAGAGAAAATGACACTTTGGGTGCCTCTGTGAGGCTGTTTGGCCTTGTAGTCTCTCCTCACCTACTCTTCATATCACCTGCCCCCCAACTCTAACCTGTGGTAGACAGTATTATTGTCCTGTTGTTATTCATGTTCCAATCCACAGAATCGATGAGTATGCTACCTTATGTGCAAAGGGAACTTTGTAGCAATGGCTAGGTTAGGGTCTTGAGGAACGATTATCCTGGTTATCTGGTGGCCTCAGTGTAATCACAAGGGTCCTTACACAGGGGTGAGGGACAGCCAGAGCTAGAGCCAGAGGAAGTTATAATGAGGAAAGTAGAGGTTAGAGTGATGGGGACTGAATCATGGAATGCAGCAGCCTCTGGAAGCCAGAAAAGCAAGGGAACAGGTTGTTCTCTCGAGTTTCCAGAGGGAAGTCACCCACTGCAGACTTCTGACATGAAGAATTAAAAGATAATAAACTTGTGTTCCTTCAAGATACTAATTCGCAGTCCATATTCACATATCCTGCTTTCCCTTCCATCTGTAATCCATGACAAGTGGCTGCCTCCACCCAACCCAGACCCACCAACACTGCCCCTCCTGGGTCACTGGTGAGCCTGAGTTGTCAAATCAAAGCTCAGTTTCCATCCAGTCTCTTTTACTTCTCTAGACTATGATTCTGTTGAGCCACCTTTCTGTCTTTGGAGACCATAACATCATACTTACTTCTTGTTATGGTTTATGTCTAAGCCTCACGCAGTCATACGGTGGCTTCTAGAGTTTGTGATGGATTCATGATCCAATGCTGGGATTATGGGTATGAGTGCTACACCTGCCTTAGGGCAGATATCCTGAATACAATATAAGGAAGGGAGAGAGGCTGCCAGCTGCCTCAGCCACTGCTCCTCTCTTTGCTCTTTGCTGTTTTCCGCCACCATGAACTGCTGCCCTCTTCTATGTGCCACTCTGCCTTACAGACAGCTAAGTAGAGACTGAAACATCCACTAACTGTGAGCTAAATCCTTCCTTGATTTTGGGTGTTAGGTATTTGGTCCCAGCAATGAGAGAAAAAGTAACTGAGACACTGCTTTTGTGTGATTTCTACTCTTTTTGGTCTCTTGTTCATTTATTCATCTCTTAGGTCAACAAATTTTTATTGAAGTCTTTCTATGTGCACAGAACTGTGCTAAAGAATATGGATGTACACACAGGCAACTTGTGCTATTCAAGGAGTTTTACAGTGCACTGGAACAGACAGACAGACAAAAGTAGTAACACTGTTTTAAAAGCAAAGATGTATACTAGATACATAGCACAGGGGTCTCCAGTCCTCTATCCTACTTCTAGCCATGCCTCTCAAACTCTCTGCAGCAGCAGCATCATTATCTGGTTGCTGGTTAAAAACAAAACAAAAACACAGAGCTGAGAACTCACACCAGACTGCTGAACTCTAGGGGTGGAGATCACATGTTAGCCCATGTTCTTTGTCTCATCTGAAGCATTTGTGAAGTCTGCTCTCCACTGTCCAGCGCTCTGAGCCCTGCCATACTTCCTATAAGCTCTTTGCCTGTTTTCTCTGTCTGCCCAAAACTACATTCCTCAGGATCTGGCTCTTGATGCTATCCCCTCAATGGGATTTCATGAGGCCACCCCCTTCCCTTTTTGCTTGTATTTGCAAAGCACTTTTCACCGTGTGTATTTGGTTAGGTTTTAAGAACATTTACTGAGTATTATCAGACACTAGGCAAAAATCTAGAATACAGAGGAAAAGAATAAATCATTCCTTCTCAAAGGAGCTTGTAGTGTATATTGGTCAGTTGTGGACGTGGCCCACTACTTCTGATCTTTCGGTAAGGAATTTGGGTGTTGAATACAAGTATTCCAGTCTTTCCCTTTGTTGACTGTTTTTTCAAATGGTGGATGCTGACACAATGAATGGAGTATGGTGACATCCATAGTTTCCACAAGCTTGGGTTGGTCATCGATCTTCACTGCGCAGACATGTTGGTGCTCTCCACAATCCGTTTCTACTTCCTGCTTCCAGGCAGCCTTTAGTTTCTATCTGGGTAGCCTCAAGTTCAAGAGAAGCTCCAGGTGCAAAGCATGTGTACAAAACAGAGAGAACAACAACAATTTTTCCTGGATGTCCGTGGTGATGGTGCAAGTATGAGAAGCATTGGGCACAGGTTGCCCTACAACTCTCTGGAGAGTCAAAGGAAAAAGCCTGGAGAAAATGGAAGCCAAAACCTAGAAACCCAACCTGAGAAATGGAGAGAGAAAAATTATTTTGCTCCTATTATTTGATACCCTTGACTTAAGCCTTATCTGGCATTAAATTCCTTTCGTTGTTGAAACCAATGTTTTGAGCATTTATTTCCTAGTAATCATAAGCATACTAATTGTTTCAATCTTTCTCTTGAATCCAAACAAACAGCTTATATATCATCTAGAAAATGAGCCTCTGTTTTCCCTAAAGGCTGATTTACTCAAAAAACAAGTCACATGTAGATCTTTTCCTTGGCTGTACCTGAGAAACTAGGATTCTTAGAGCTGTATAGCCACATTAAACTTGCATTAAACTCACAAGTAGGTAAATATGTACACTTCCTGCTTTCATCTTGGTACCTGTGAAGGCTAATTTTATGCATCCACTTGGCTGGAACACAGGGTGCCCACATATTTGTTTAAACATTCTTTCTGGGTGTGTCTGCGAAATTTTTTTCTGGAGGACATTAGCATTTGATTGAGTAGACTGAGCAAAGCAGATTGCCTTTCTTCTTTGGGGTGATCTTTAAGCAGTTCAGGAATCAAATCAAACTGCACAGGTGGAGGCAGGGAGAGTTCACTCTGTCTGATGGAGCTGGAACCCTGGTATTTGGATCTCAGAATGGGACTTAGAGCATTGGTCTATGGCTTTCAGGATTTAGGTCTTAAGCTAAAACTATATTATTGGCTTTCCTGGGTCTCCAGTTTGCAGTAGAAACAGATGGGATAGATACAGTCTATGTCTCGTAGGTACATAATTAGGTGATTGCTTTCACATGAAGAAGAATGTGTGTGAAACAGAGTGAGGAGACATAAATGACATATCCTGTTCATATAGGCCACAAACACATCTGGTTATGTGGACTGTTCTAAAATAAAACACTTTTTTTTTTACCTCCAGTTGTTTCTTTTTTGCTGCTACATGCAAAAGCCTTAGTAAATGGTACTGTTCTGGTTGCTCCAGGTGAGACATCAAGGCCAAGAGATCTGTCAGGTGTCTGTTAATCGGCTGAGGCTGCTTTTCATACACTGAAGGTAATACCCTTAGCAACATGGCATTTCCTGTTGGGGAACAAAAAGGGAAAGGTGATTGAGCCCACAGCATCAGAAACAGCATGGCTGCCAACCTGATAACCTTTAGCTGACATATTAATGGCACAGATGATGGTCAAGCCCATTAAAAATAACACAGTATCTTATTCTGAAAAACCACTTAAAGCATGATTTAAATTGATTTCTTATAAGGGAATATCTTACAACATGATCAGCTCTATTATCTAGTAAAATTGTTTTTTTCTGAGTAATGCACCACAGAGGATAGAAAAGCATTTGACAGTAACCAGACCACACCCTTGAGAGGGAAGGAATTTCTGGAGCGAAGCAACATTGAATGATGGTTAAATGAGAAGGAAGTGGTGTCGTAAGTGGGAACCTAAATGAAACTGCACCAAAAAAGTGGAGAGGAATGTGCTCACATTCCAGAGGACTGCAAAGGCATTCAGATGGTGCACAGAGAGAAACAACACCTTATTTTTATGAATAGCTAAAAAAGTAGCAATGTAAATTTAAACCACCTGTTTCTGCACTATTTCAAGGAAGTTTAGGCTCAACTTGTTTGTCATTTGTGACTTGCCTTCAAGACAGGACAGACAATTGGATTTCAAACGGCAAAATCTCAAGAAAAACTATTACCTAAACTGTAAAGTCTTTTCTGCAAACAGCATATGGGAGACATGTGCTTATCACTTTATGGTAT